TTGGCAACTATGTTATCTATATGCGCATTGAAGGATAGACGCTTGTCAAATATTACACCTAAATCAGATACAGTTTCTGGTCTCTGAATGACGATATCGTTTACCCTGTAATCATAACTGATTAGGTCTTTTTTGAGGGAACACAGTCAGCCTCAGATTGGATCTCACAATAAATTTTCAGGTCATCTGCATAAAGAAGGCATTGCACATCTAATATACTAACAATATCATTTATAAAAATATTAAACAATAAAGGGCCCAAGTTGCTTCCCTGAGGCACTCCAGATGAAGCTACGTATTCAGTAGATTTAAAACCATTGAACATGACATACTATTTTCTATCCATCAGATACGAAGTGAACAGGTTGATTAAGTTTAACGACAAACCACACGATATATATAAAAGATGACTAATAATGATTCGCAATTTTCACATATTGTAATTATTTATAATTTCCAATTAATGTACTATTTAAGTACTTATATTATTTTATATTAACTTAAAGTTGTATACTTTTATAGCCTTCGACAATTCATGTCTGCAAAAAATATGGAAGATTTTATTAAATTAAATTAAATATAACCCATTGACGTCTTTGAAGCATGACAATTCAAAATCTGTAAAAATCTTCACAAAAGTACTAATATCACGTCAACAGTACATAAGTATATTTTTTTGGAAAAGCCAATAAATTTATATCTATAAACGTTTGGAGACTGTTATCATTATTGTCACTAATTTTATCATGTGTCTACTTCATGATATTAATAACTACACATGTTTTTTTTTAACTTAACCCCAGACAAAACGGGCAACGTCTCCGTGATAATCATATTTTTTGATAATCTCGATATAATTACATGTACATAGATTAAACTTTATTATTTATTTACAATTATTGCAGACATAGGTTTACCGTTTGAAATTAAACTAAGAGTTTCATTGAATCATATAAACTGCTTTAGGAATCCGTACCATGATTTAGTTGTAAAATTGATAAAATAATGATCTATGATTACTTTTTTCGTTTCCAAAACTAAGCTATTGTTGAATCGATTCAGATAGATCCGATAGATCGGTCAATTAAAAGTATTTTCTGATACCCTGAGATAACAGAAACGGTGCCCCCAGGATTGTCTTCACCATTAAGACCGTTGGTGCAATTCTGTTGAGGTACTTGTTAAAAGTCCTGTGAGTCACATGTCGTTTTTACTTAGTATGCTAGTAAATAAATAAATAAATAAATAAATAAATAAATAAATAAATAAATAAATAAATAACCTTTATTTTCCTTAAAGACTTTATAATAAAGTATGGGAATAGTCAATAATACAAAAAAGGGAAGATAAAAGCCATATGCTAGTAAATAAATAAATAAATAAATAAATAAATAAATAAATAAATAAATAAATAAATAACCTTTATTTTCCTTAAAGACTTTACAATAAAGTATGGGAATAGTCAATAATACAAAAAAGGAAAGATAAAAGCCATACATTCTTATACTAAAACAATTCAGTAATGTTATATATACATTTGTCAATTAAATAATATTTTAACTTAGCTTTAAACCTACCGAGATTCTCAATCATTTTTATTTCCAAGGGCAAGTTATTAAACACCCTGGGTCCAAACACGAAAGGAGACTTTACAGACACATTATAATTACTGTAAGGCACACAAAAAGTATTCCATTGTCTAGTTTTATATATATGCAAAGCACATACTTTGTTAAAATGATTTTTGTTATTGAAAAAGAAAACACATAATTCAAAGATGTGAAGACTCGGAAGCGTTAATATTTTATATTCCTTAAAAATATTTTTACAAGATTGCCTACTTGTTACACCTGCTATATATCTAAGAATACGTTTTTGTGCCACAAATACACTTTTCGCAGTTACGGAATTTCCCCAAAATATTAGACCATATCTCAGCCTAGAACTGACTTGTGCATGATACAGGCCCATGACTTTCCCACGGTAGTACACACTTCAAATTTCGAAAAAGATAACACAGTGAATGTAGTTTGGATGTTAAATTATTACATTGTTCCTTCCAATTTAGGGAATCGTCCAGTTGCAAACCCAGAAACTTAGCACTCTTACATAGTATGTTTACATGGGTCAGCATAAGAAGCTTGGCTTGAAAATCTTATCCGCCCGACGATTCTTCCGTTAATCGCTCTTTAATCCAATTTAGTCCAGACGGTATCTGTTTCAAAGAGTCCATATTTGGGTGAGTCGTATATCCACGGAGATTTTTGGCTTTTTGGCTTTAAAATATCACTAGAAATTAAAATTTTTCTATGCGCATAAAAAAACGTGAGCTTAACTTTTGGCGGCACAATATGTTAAAAAAATTTGCAGAATGTCATATTTTTCTTCCTATTTAATTATGTATCTTTTCAAGAGTTGATTTTAGGCGAAAATGGAAGAGGAAAAAAAGTTTGTAATTAAATTTTAGAAAATATGACTAGTTACAAATCGAATGAATCATGATTATTATTGTATAAATCGAAAAAATCACCAAAAATGGGATTAAAAAACATTACTTTTTATGGAATTTCTTTGGGGTCTTTAAGTTGGGTATAAGACCTTCATACTTGGCTCAAGAAAACTTCATGTTATGTAGAATCATCACACCAAATTTCATCAAAATCGGTTCAATAGATTTTGCATAATAATTTTGCAATCTAGATTTTGAAAAAAAATTGCAAATTTTCAAAATTTTGCACAGCAAAAACCAAGGCCCTTAGATACTTGAAAATTTAATCACATATAGAAGGGCTCTCAAGCTTTCAAACTTTTTTTGAAAAATTCGAATCCGTCAATTAGGAGAGCTCTGGCGCTTGTTTAAACATTGGTCGAATTTTTGTACTTATAAACAATTAGAATAACTTTGTGAATATTCAATCAAATCAAATTTTTTAAAGCAGGTTTTAAAAGTTCTTGGAAAGACGCTTCTTTAAAAAAAAAAAAAGATCGAATGGTCAATTAGTTACGGAGTTATAGCCGATCAAAGTCATTTACACTAAATGTACTGGGACATCCGGGCTAATTTTTCGAAAAATACCTTTGGTATTCCGAGTACTTACCAGGTCTAAGATTACAATACTTTTCTTCATTGGCAACCTACTTTAAAACGTGTTTAAAGTTATTTATGCAAGCGAGAAATTCAATAAAATCGTACGGGTGGTGGTGGTGGGGGAAGCAGAGAGCGCGGCCGCTTCGGCCTGCTCGAAATTGAATCGGCTATAACTACGTAACTAATTGATCAATCGATCTGTTTTTTTTTAAAAAAGCGTCTTTCCAAGAACTTTTAAAACCTGCTTTAAAAAATTTGATTTGATTGAATATTCACAAAGTTCTAATTGTTTATAAGTACAAAAATTCGACCAATGTTTAAACAAGCGCCAGAGCTCTCCTAATTGACGGATTCGAATTTTTCAAAAAAAGTTTGAAAGCCTGAGAGCCCTTCTATATGTGATTAAATTTTCAAGTATCTAAGGGCCTTGGTTTTTGCTGTGCAAAATTTTGAAAATTTGCAATTTTTTTTTCAAAATCTGGATTGCAAAATTATTATGCAAAATCTATCGAACCGATTTTGATGAAATTTGGTGTGATGATTCTACATAACATGAAGTTTTCTTGAGCCAAGTATAAAGGTCCTACACCCAATTTAAATACACCAAAAAAATTCCCTAAAAAGTATTGTTTTTTAACCCCATTTTTGTGATTTTTTCGATTTTTACCATAATAATCATGATTCATTCGATTTGTAACCAGTCATGTATTGTAAAAAATTTAATTACAAACATTTTTTTCCTCTTCCATTTTCGCCTAAAATCAACTCTTGAAAAGATACATAATTAAATAGGAAGAAAAATATGACATTTTTCGAATTTTTTTAACATATTGTGCCGCCAAAAGTTAAGCCCACGTTTTTTTTATGCGCATAGAAAAATTTTCATTTCTAGTGATATTTGAAAGCCAAAAAGCCAAAAATCTCCGTGGATATACGATTCACCCAAACCAAAACAGATATCGCCTAGTCTAATTATCAATGAATACACAGATTAACATTTAGTTTGAAAAAGAACCCACCGGATTCTACTTAGGTTCCATGGGGTTTTTGAGGTTGCTGATTCCGATGTCGACGTCGGTTAAGCTCTATCACATCAAGGTCATTTGCAGATTATCATACAGGGTTTTAAAAATTTAGGCATTAAGTTGTAAAGCTTAGTCCGCGCCTAAAAAAGCTAAATATGTTTCAAGAACACTATTTTAAGAAGTCCATCACATAAAATTTTTATTAAATTATATTAAGTACTTTAAAAGTTATTCAAGAAAAACCGATTTCCAGCGGCATCCTTTAAGGACACATATCTCCGAAGGAAGGGCCTATACGAAAAAATTTTATAGGAACTTGTCATCTTATTTTTTCTGTTATATATCTGAGAGATTTTCCACATTTTTCCGGACACTCTGTATATGCCCCAATATGAAAATCCTTATTCTCCACAAAGTTGATAATTTATGGTAACTTATAATTACATCACGAAACTATTTTCACATTTAGTTACTTGACAAATTATTAAATATAGGTGTAAAGTTAGAGCACAACTTATTTGACCTTATTAAAAAAATATATTACCTGAGAGAATTGTTTTATATGCTATTTATTTAAGGAGAACTCTTCCTCAAAAAGGAATTGTTAGTACTGTTTCCTAAGATAGTTATAATAAACTTATTGTTAGATATAAACTCTTGATTGTCATTTAAATACCCATGTGTTTAGATAATTATAATACATTTATTTGTATCACATGAGAAATGGAAATAGTATAGTCATGCTCAAATTACCTTCTTGCCTTTATCTGTGTTAAAGAGACTTAGTCATCCTCATTAAACAAATTATATATAATTTATCCGTCGTTATCGCTTACGAGACTTTATATAAGATTGAACTTCCAGTTCAGATTAAAAGTTATTATTGATTGCATAAAGATGAGTTCATTTCGGGTGATTTTAATTGTCGCGGTACTCGCATTACCATCATGTTCGTGTGCAAATATATTAGCAATAGTTCCTATGCCATCCTACATCCACCAGATAGCCTTTACTTCACTGTGGAAGGAATTATCCCTAAGAGGGCATAAAGTTACTGTGGTGACAACGGATCCTCAGAATGATCCAAAATTAACGAACCTCACCGAGATCGATACGAATTGGTCTTATAAATATTTCGGCAATGTGAGCAAGTTGGTAGAAAAATCTATGAACATGTGGAACGCTTTCGATGTTTTTTCCGGTATTATGACGGGAATTGGAGAAGGACAGCTCTCTTTTGGCCCTGTCCAGAAGCTGATGCAGAGAGAAGAACATTTCGATGTTCTACTCGTGGAAGGATTTTTTCCCGAGTTTCTAGGCTTTGCCGAGATATATAACTGCCCGAAGATTTTGATTACATCCTTGGATGCACCCAAGTTTATTCATCGCTTTTTTGGAAATCCAACTCATCCCATCCTGAACCCTGAGATGGTGACTTCGTTCCATGGAAATTTAAATTTCAGGGAAAGGGTAATCAGTACAATTTTCGACGTCTACTTTGCATTCCATTCGGTTAAAAATTATTATGCCGAGAAGCAAAAGATTCTTAATAAATATTTTAACACAAAATTAACCATATTCGAACTAATGAGTGACGTTGACCTTTTGTTTGTGAATGTGGATCCAGTTCTGCAAACCGTTAAATCTCTTGGTCCTTCCACAGTTACAATAGGAGGTTTCAGAAAAGATACACGTAAAAGGTATCTGCCAAAGGTTAGTACATTTTTTTTCTTTAATGGTTTCAATATCACAAATGGATTATTTTGTTGTTAATACTACAGAGTGTTAGTTAGGTGCGTCAACAAACTTTAAGAGGCAACTAATTTTGAACAAAAAAGGTCATATGTACATAGCTCCTCAACTGGATAGTATAGAGCAGGGGTTCTCAATCTTCTTTTTCAAAGACTGTACCCCTTAATGAAAATTAAATTAAAAATACTTTTTACGTCAAAAACACAATATATTTGAAACGCATTACAAAAAATTAGTGAGAATTACCACACAAGTATTGAATTAGATTCCATTATTAAATTATAACCTTGCGTGATTACGAAACGGAAAGAAATAAAAATGGTTTAATTTTTCATTAACCTGCCCCGCGTACCCCCTGAAAATTTTCCCGTACCACAGTTTGAGAACCCCTGGTACAGAGGTATAGGTTGTCAAAAACTCTGTCACTAATATACATTTTGACGTTTGATACACACTTTTGATGCAGAATGATGAGACATAGTAGTAGGGGAGCCCACGATGCTAAACGGGGATTTACTCGAGCGTCGTAGGGACCTATTGGATTTTGAAGATTAGATGGTAGAAAGAAAAAAAGGTTATATGCTGTATATCCTTTCACCTTTGGGGGGAGCGCCTAGAGGCTTTCAAAAATGTAAAAAAAAACGGTCACATGGTCGAGCGCGTCAGATATTGATAGTGTATATGCTCTACGTGTCTCCGATAACGGAGATATGTTAATCTGCCGATGTGGATGGTGGGGGCAGTCGTACGGAAAGGTTAAAAATGGGCAAAAAAAAACAAATTTTCTCGAGCGCGTCATATTCAAAAGACTGACGATTCGGATGTGACGCAAACTCGTGGCAGCTTTTTGAAAATGGAAAAAATTCGCCATTTTGAAATACTCGAGCGCATCAGATTTTCATATAGACGGTTCAGCTTGATGCCCTAGTTGTGCTGATCCATAATCTAACCATTATTTGGAGGGGTTTTCTTAATCTGACGGTTTGAAAAAAAAAATGTTTTTCATTTTTTTTAAAATCACTGAATGTGACAAATATAAATTTGTAATTGTTAATGAGCAATTGTTTTTTGGCGGTGGACAGTTGTGATGTATAATCTTAATAAAAATAATACTAATAATAAAAATTTGCTCGTAAATTTGATTTTCTTAAAAAATATTAGTTGGCTAGAAAGCCATTGAATTTAGAAACTTTTTTGTTTCTTTGTACGTTTTTAGTAAAACGCAATGTTTTTGAGGAAAATGGCGAATCACGATATGCATTCGATCACATTTTGCCATTTTTCCCGAAAACATTGCGTTTTACGAAAAAAGTATCAAGCGACAAAAATGTTTCTAAATTTAATGGCTTCCTAGCGAACTAATAATTTTAAAAAAATGAAATATGCGACCAATTTTTTTTGGCTCCAAAGACAAGGAGGCCCACGAAAAATTGTCTTAAGGGCGTTTCCCACCAAAAAGCGGAGTAGCATCAGATTCCACATATTACAATGATTTTTGTTACTTCGGCTTGTGGAAATCGGCAGATTATATTTTTCCCGTTATCCTTGAATTATTTCCTTCAAAATAAAAAAAAATCGACCGCGCTCGAGAATGTCCAGGTGACGTTATTTTTTGCAATTTTGTGAGCTTCCGACTGCCTTACGTCACACTCAAATCGTCAGATTATTGAAATGCACACTTTTCAGCATGTAATTAACCCATCATACCTTAATCTGACGCGCTCGAGTATTTCCAAATATCGATTTTTTTTATTATTCTGATTGGCTGCCCTACACGCGCGGCCTTATATAGAGGACTTAGATATGGTGGAGGTACTCAACAGGGTGCAAGGTATCCCCCATATGTTAATCTGCCGCGCTTGAGTAAATCCGAAAATCCCCTCTTGGGCTCCCCTACTATAGGCTACTGATATCCAAGTTAAGGTAAAAATACACTAGATTCGAATATAAATATTACATATGTGTACCAATGACGGAAATACAAGGAATGGCTCGCACTGAAACTCCAGAAAAATCCAAGTCCACTAAATATTTTAATAATACGATCACCACTTGTATAGTTTTTCCGTCTGAACTGAAGAACCAAGAAGTTGCAGTATGTACAAGGTTCGGTCGCTGACGCAGCTACGCGGCATTGAAATGTTTGGAAAACTTGTTCCCATATTTATTTAGCCATACCCATATACAGATCTGGTCGCTTAGTTGAACAATGAGCGCGCGAGCAAAGGCGGCACAAACACAGCCGCACTAGGTGACCTGGCTATAAATTCAGTTGTCAACAAATGACCTAGCAGTGCAGTGCAGCAATGCGGAATTTGGTGTGATTCAGATAATTTTAATTTATTAAGACACCAAATCATTCATATTGCAATTGCGAAAGGGAGAAATAAGAGGGATATTTTGTTTACTAATATTATTGCAACGTGGCATTTTGGAGACCTTTTGAAACGGAACAAAACTAAATTTACCATCAGTAGGTATAATAAAATTGTTTGAGGACATAAATAATTAAAATATGTTCTTGGTCAAATAAACAGATAATAGAAATTTTCTACACATTATATGCAAATTATTATTATTTTGTACCTTTAGCAGAAAACTTTTTTAGGGACGTCTATGAAACTCATAAAATTTTATTGCTAGGCGTTTTTATACATGTTTAACTGACTTCGGAAAGACTTTAACTATTCGTAGTATTTTTAAGAAAAAATACATCTTTCATTTTACCCATAAAATAAACCATATTCGACATATTCTTGAAACTTGTATTAATGTTATTACTAAATACTTCACAAAATGCAAAATCTCTAGAACTACTCGTTTCTCAAAAACGTTCATAGGAGTTTTGGTAGAAATACAATTTTAAATACAATCTAATCAAAATATATCCGAGAAAATCAGTTAACATAAATTTTGCATTTTGTTAGGGATAGCAGCTCGGAAATATTTACAATCGACAAACCGACTCCAGCTGTCTCCGTCAATGTTACTTGTACTTATTCGAATTCAGTTGACTTTTACTTTGAATTATACCGGGCTCATTCACAAACGGTGACTAAAAATGAAACCTCGTATTATTTGGTGAATTCTAAGGCGAGTCTTTCGTATAAAGTTTTTATCTAGGACGCTTCGTTAAAAATATATAGGGTGTTAAACTTCAAAAAACATATTTAATTTTCTAAATAATTTAAAAACTAGTAAGTGAAATAATTTGAAATTGGGCACATATATTTAAGTAAACATTGTCCAAAATCTGAGGGCTTTTCCTAAAATTTACATGCTCCAGTGGCGCAGATACAGGGTATCGGTGGCATATTTTTCTAAATAAAATGGTACGCCACTGCTTTACGGTAACAACCATGATATGATACTCTCCTATGTTTTTCGAAAAAGCCTGATTTTCGAGTAAAACCATAGTATTCTATTCAGCTCTTCACATAGATCTCGAATAATACGTGAAGCCACCGAAATAGAAAAACGTCCAAATTGTTGAATAAAGGGGGCGACTAACTGAGGTAGCGAAATGGGTGGAAATTTTTGATTTTCCGAATGAGGACACATAGCAGGTGCAATAAGGCAGACGATTGATAGTTGGGGAGTAGACAGATTGAGGCCTCGTAGTCATACTGCAACTTAAATATTCACATCAATATATCACCTTTACTTTTCACCCTGTCTAGATAGTAGGCAGATTCAGGCTCTTTAGGAATCCCTGCCAGTTCAATCCGAGGAGTAGGTAGATTGATACCTCAGTATCGTTTAGTCATTCTTTCTCATCCTTTTCCGTCCGTTAACCTTCCACCCTCTCTAGACAGATTGAGGCTTATAGAGACTCTCTACAGGCTCCTTGGAGGACCCTGACAATTCGATCCGAATAGTAGGAAGATCAAGGTTGTCAAATACTCGCTAACAGGCTCGTCAGTTCAATCCGAAGAGATGAAAGACTACGGTCCTCGAAGACTGTTTAAAAGGTTTCTTAAAGAATCCCGACAGTTCGATCCGAAGAGTAAGAAGACCAAGGTTCTCAAAAACTGGCTAACAGGCTTCTTAGGTCAATCCGAAGAGTGGGTCCTCAAAGACCCTCTAACAGGTTTCTTAGAGAACCCCGACAGTTCGATCCGAAGAGTAGGAAGACCAAGGTTCTCAAAGACTCTCTAACAAACTCCCGATAGTTCTACCCGAGGAGTAGTCAGATTAAGGATTCGGTATCATTGGGTTATCACTTCCTTCAACATTTAACTAACTTTAAACTGTTGTAACTGACTCCAAAACGGGAACTGAAACGCCGAAACTTCTCAGACTCGGTTCAACCAGAGAACCTAGTACTACCAAAAATGAGTTTAACATTTCTTTAACATTTGACTGAATATTAATAATAAATAGTTAAAAACGTTATATTTTCAACCTTTAACACATATGACAATATCAATCAACACTACGCCATTTTAATGTTATTTAAAGCACTTGTTGTTCTCAAAACCATTTACCTGCACGCGATATAATGTGACTTAAATCTGTCTTAAAATTATTATATTATCATATAATTACCGTATACTTACAAGCATATTTGCATCATAAGGAACTAAAACAGTACAGTCATCCTTAAATTAATGATTTGTCTTTATGAAAGAGACAGTCATCCTTATTAAATAAATTGTATTTAATTTGTCTGACCTTATCGCCAATAAAACTTTATACACTAGAAGATTCAATGTCAACTAAAAGGCAATTGTTTATATAAACAAGGGTGGGTTCTGTGTGATCCTAGGCGTCGTATTTTAGCAATAGTTCCGATGACGTCTTATAGCTTTTACGGAAAGAATTATCGTTAATAGGACGCAAAGTTACAGTGATTACGACGTACCCTCCAAAATTATCTAACCTCACTGAAATCGATACGAAATTTTCTTACCAATACCTCAACGATGTAAATAGTTTGGCAGAAAAAACTGTAAACAATG